ATACTTTATTAGTTCTAACGCACATCCTCTCCAAAAAGTTTTCTTTTGTAAAAATAGTTTGAGGTTGCACGTGTTAAAAGTATATATTAGTTTATTGCTTCTTACGAAATATTTACTAGATATTGTGTTGATTCACAACTTATAATCGTAATAAACACGACTTTTTACATGCGCATAGAAAAATAATTCAATGTTCTCTCGCCGAAAACACCGCGGCAGCATGCTATGAACTCTTGGCGGTAGACAAAGCTACTTCTCATTACACATATCAAGGGAATCGTAAAACATAGAAGATCACTTAAGTCCTTGCTGCAAGAGGTTATACAGTCACCTGCACAGGCAAAACTGGACTTTGTGCCCGATCGCGACATATGATAAATGTCTTGCTGCGGGGGGGGGTTGGAGCGCTACTGCGTTCTTGAAAAGATATGTTAGGACACAATCTTCGGTTTAAACTTGTTTTTGTGTCAACCCCGGGAGCAAGCTTAAAGTTGCTTCCTCAAACAGTTCTCACAGTGAAATATTCTGTTGGTCGAGACTGGAATAGTTTAGTTGTCATCAATAGGTTCAGCTCTGGTATCATCTAACTTAATTTCCTTGCCAGGGGCCCGAATCCGGTAAATTGCGACCGGGCGTAACGCGCGCCGATGTTGATCTCGTAGATTTTCGCAAAACGACCAGCATCTGCCTGCGGTATGTCAGCGTGCATTGGTCTTCACGAGCGTTTTTCCCGATGAATTTCGGAAACGAAGTTAAAGCTGTATTTTGGCACGTAATATCCCAGTATTAATCGTGATACCCGCTCTCCTTGTTATCAAAATGGTTTATACCCCCTCATAAAAATACCATCAGGAGGCCATGGTCATTGGTTAAATTTTCCGTTTACCCCCAGATTTTTTAAAATCTTGTGGGCTAACAGTCAATTGGTTGATAGCTCGGCTGTCTGAAACGACAGGCGCAAGGACGGTGACTTGCGAGTGAATTTGTTTATAATGATTGTAGGTTCGCCCGTCATTTACCGTATTCTCTTACCACACTCATAGATCCGTTGTTAAGACAACGTCAAGAGTACGGGGGGCGGTTATTGGGTGCGGTAACGGATAAAGCTAAAGAGCCCGTCTATGTGTTTTCCACCCGTGCTTAATCCACTGACGATGCCCCTAAACGCAGGAGGGGGAGCTCGAATCTCAACTGAGTGGGAGTGCCATCGAGGCAACATCAAGAGGGAACCAATTTATCTCCGCACACCTTCAAAAGACGGCATTTAGTTCACTGTGGTAGTTTAAAAGTGCGTTAAATTGTTTATTGTGACGAATGCGTGCTGACTGCAATTTAGACGGAATCTTGAGAGTCGACCTCTACTACTATTTCCTCTTCTAGTTCACTGTCTGAACCGGCCAGTCATCTGATGCGTGCTCAAATGACTGGCAGAGCTAAAGTACGCGTGTCCGTGTGTCACACACGGCCTGTTTCTTTACGACACCAAGATGCGTAGACGGCTGGGATCTCACATGCGTGAAAGTACTGCAGTAGTCGCCGGTTATTAAGCCCACGGTTAATAGGCCCAGCCGCTTATTAAGTCCGAGCTTTTAGCTATTAGAGTAGTCGCCGGTTATTAAGCCCACGGTTAGTAGGCCCAGCCGCGTATTAAGCCCGAGGTCAGCTTGGGACGGAATTTTACATAGCAAAATCCGCCGGCTTATAAGCCCATTTGGTCTGGGCCCAGGTGGGCTTAATAACCGGCGACTACTGCAATGAAGGTAACATTGCAAGGGGCCACCATGCCGGACTCGCATTTCGCCAGCCGATCACTCCACATACACAGACACACCTTGGAATGGCTCAGGTGTTTGAATTTTATCGTCAATTGCGAATTTTAGCCGACTAGTTACCAAAGAAAGGCATCCACTCTTGATTATCCGGAGAAAAAACTGGATAACTAAAGGGTCTCAACTGTTGTTCGTTATAGGTATTACAAATATAGATAGCTTATAATTCGACATCTATGTAGAATAACTAGTGTTTACGTTTCGTAGACATACTACCTTCTGCCGCATTTGCTTCGTAAAAGTGCTGAGAGTCTTTTTTCCACTATCATGTGTTGCATTACTGAGTTAATTAGCAAACCAAATTTATGTTTTCTAGTCAAATAGAGCTCATAAACGCCAAAATAATTAATCTCCGCTTAAAACTGCTAGTAAGGCCGAAAGTTTCGGTGTTCTGACCTAGCGTATTCGTCTTGAAGCCTTCTTTATCTTGATTTACTGAAGCATTTGTCGTCGCATTTTCTCACGCATTGTGTTCTGTATTTTTTAAGTCCCCGTAGGAAACAAAGGTCGTCTGAAAATTATGTTTTTGCATACCTTAGGGATTTCCCGATTTTCTGCCGACGGCACACGTTCTAGAGAGCCTTCGAAAAACAACGGACGAACAATGCGACCCGGCTGCACACCAGGAAGCCAGAAGTGAAGTAAGACAGTTGTCTTATTAAGTTAACATTTATCCACCTCTAAATGCCTACCATTCCTGTTCTTTTGGTCCTACGGCAATTTTTCGCTAAAACGTGATTTCCAGTTGACAGAGACAGAGACCTTTATTATTATTATTATTACTACTACTACTACGTTGTCAGTCAGTCATACCCAGACCCACGTGGTGCCCCACTCGAGCTTCGAACTCGCGACCTTTTTGATCGGAGTCAAACGCCCTAACCATTGAGCCATGATCTCGTTGTCTTGCCGGTTTAGGTTGGGAGATATTGACACTCTTTAATGAACGTTTACCGAGCACTAACGGAACTCATTTGTGCCGTTCTGCCTTGGGCCTCAGCAGAGGCCCTGACAGCCGTAGCAGCTGGTAGTATAGGCAGATAGTATTGCCTATACTACCATATGCTACTGCTGTCAGGGCCTCTGTCGCGGCCCAAAGCAGAGCGGCACAAATGAGTTCAATTAGTGGTCGGTGAACGTTCATCAAAGAGCCCCGTGTTCTTGACTACATGCATCCATTGTTGGGGTTTTTACCTCGTTTATCCTTTACTATTTGTTTAATATTACCGTAGTAAATTGATTGTCGTTATCATTGGGGTTTGAAGTATGAGTTACTATTGGATACAGGGTCAGAAGTTGCAAGAAACTCGAAACAGCCGGCATGCAACTACTTCACAGTCCGTAGGCGC